TCTGCGCTTGGCCTTCGGGGCCTGGACGAATGGTTTCCTCTGCAAATTCGGAGGTATCATGCTTCTTTTCAGTTTTCCCAGGGAGGGCTGGCTGGGCCCAGGGCATGCTGCTGGCTCCGCCATGGTCTCTGATCTGCTGCTGTCCTGCCGGCTGTACTCCTGAGATGCACGCAGGCTGAGGCTGGTACGAAGTGCCTTAAACTATTAAATTCTTATGTGATATCTTTTTAAATCACCTTTAGTTGATATTCTGTCCTCTCATCCCAATACTTATTCCCAAACATCAGTTTCCTACTTCTTATTCTATACAGTTAACTATTGAATAAAATACTACTTTCTGAGTGTTTCCATCCTTTTGTCTCTTAATCCTTTGTTGTGTTTCTTCAATGTTTAAATTTTTTTTTAAAACAACAAAACCTGACCTTAGCCTAAAATGAACTTTCACCTTTCTTTTTTTTTTCTGTCTTCTTATATTTCTTTTCTTTTTAACGCTGATATGCTTTATTTTTTCCATAACTTTATTGAGAAACACCTTTCTTTGTTATAGTAGTTTAATTGAATTTGTGTGGGAGCTCAATCGTATCTGGGGCCCAGCAGTTGTCCTCTTAAGGATGAGTGAGAAGGCAGAATTTGCTCATCATATCACTGTTGAATAAGTTGTTTTCTTTTCCTGTTATTTCAGAGTTTATCCATAGATTTTGTGTTCATGATCTTATTTATTCTTGTGAGAAGTGAAGCCAGCAATAAAAAGTAGTCTTATTACTGCATTAAAGATTGAAGAGTGTGGAATTTGAACTTGTTAAGGTCCCAAAATGTGTCAGTAGTGTATTTTTTCAGGACCTCTCTTTTATTGCCAAATATAGCATTGTCTAGGTTTTCAACCTTGGTCTATTTTAGCCTTGTTGGTATCTCCCTAAGAAGTGATATCCAAGCTTGTTATTTCAGTCATCTACTGTATGGCATGGACTTCTACTGTCATCTATCAGTGGACATTTTCACTAGATGATTTATGACATATACATATATAGAACTGTGATTTACCCAGAATTGATCATTGATCATTGTTCTATATTCCATTTCTTAATTCATATTATCTTCTAGGTAGTTTCCCTGTGTATGTCTGTGATGTGATTTTTTTTTTTTTTGTGTGTGTGTACACACACTTTGGTCTGCAGACTTAATTTGTTTTACCGTTTTGGAAGAGATGGCCTTATATGCTTTGTGTGGGAAAGATGGAGACAGTCATTCATAGCCCAATGCATAGTTTACAAACAAAATTTTGCCAAATGCTTTTTTTTGCAAACCAAATTATTTGCAAATAAAAGTATTCATGAACAGAAATTGATTGTTGTTCAGGCTATTTTTCTTTATTACTTAATATTATGGCTCTTTGTTTTTATTTTTAAAATTAATTTTATTGAGAAACAAATAATAATGAAACAGTTTCAAAACAGGTTAGTAGGACAGTTATAATAATTAATACATTGCATATTGT